TGGGCAGAGACTCGGTTATTTGGAATAACCAGCTCTGAAAAGTTTATTCTATTATACAATCGGACGTCAGTAGTAAACCAAGGATGTTTACTACGAAGTTGTACAACTACCTACACATACCCTGCAATTAAAATATGTCGTCATCATCTTCAATACCAATGGCTGGCATTGAAATTGACCCTTCCCTCTATCTATTAAACCCTCAAATTGATGAGCGTATAATAGCAAGATACTACCCTGGTGAAAACAATGAAGTTACTAGAAGGGCGTGGAAAGAGATACTTGAATCTACTACCAGCTCCCTGCAACTAGAAGTTCAAATGGTTTTACAGGATGTATTTACTCGAATGAAGCAAGCAGACCGAGTTATTACCGATCAACAAGAGGAAATAACAGCTGCAGACGTTTGATTAGCGGAAGTGGAGCATGTGAATATGGAATTGAGGAAGGATTACAATTCGCTAGTAGAGCAATTGAATAATCATGTGGCAATGGTAGCACAACAACCTGCGACATTGATGTCGCAGGAACAAGAAGAAAGAAGATTCCGAATTGCACAACCAGGAAGATTTGCGAACAACTCAAAGGAACAGACCTTTGAACAGTTCGTTGAAAAACTGGCTGTATGGTACGCACACCAAAGAGTAACTGCGGACAGAGATCGCATTATGGGTGTATTGGCTTTATTGGAAGGCCGGGCACATACGGTGGCCGGTAACTATTATCGCATGGTCAAAGACTCTAAAGATTTGGGGAAGTATGATGACTTCCTACACCAAATGCGGAGAGCTTTCACCACTACGGATCAAGAAGAAGATGCGCGTCAGGAATTCTTGAGAATGCTCAAGAAATATGAAACTGTAGCGGCAAAAGACACCGCTAAGTTCATTGGTGAATTCAGAGGTCTGGCAGACCTCGTGAAGTCAACCGATTCAGAATTGATCGCAGCAATCAGAGACAGATTGCATAGGGAGATCAAGAATGTCTTGGCGGCCAGGGCAAGTTCCCAGTGGCCAAAGAAATGGTCAGAGTACTGTGATTATGTACTTGACATTTGCAGGAGACATGGATATTCAACAATTGGTTTCATCAATGGGCCCATCATCTTCAAAGGACCCGAACGCCATGGAGGTGGATAATACTTCCAAACAGAAGCAGTCTGGCTCTCGGCAGACTCAGCAGCAAAGAAACACTCACAATCCCAAGAAGAGATTGGAGGGTCATGCTATGAGTATG